GTCACGTTTGATTGTTGTAATTAAACTTTGTAGGTGGGGAAGGTCAGAAAAGCATCCGATCATTTTGTTTTCCCTCATTTACAGTGACGGAGATAACGGCGCAGTGCGCCTGGCTCTGGTGTTAATCAAGTTTAATTTTATCTATTTTCACAAGAAAACAGAACAGTTAAAAGCAGGGCTTGTGTTGACTGGACAGTCGCAGAACCAGAGCGCATGCAGGAAGTTTCCTCCGACTGAATTCAGTCAGAGGAGTCTTCCTGCTGATCTGAATCTGATGCGGCTCTCTGTGCTTGTAAAATAATGAATGGATATTTAAATAAAATGCTTTATATTTTACTGAATTAATTTTACATCTGTAAGTCAATTCTATGTAAATATTGTCTGCGTAAACCTGAACAGGCCCAACCCAGTCTTACTGAGACCGGGTTGACGCGTCACGCTCGTGCATAATCATAGGCGCTTCCTGAGCTGAAGAGGATGTCAGATTCTGGGCTTCTCCTCAGATGGCTCCTGGATGTGTCGCCACATTGGAGACAGGAACAAGCACTATTCAGCCAAAATTTCATAATCAGGGAACATTTTCTAAGTGACAAGTCTCTCTGAGAGACCGGGTTTGGCAAACACTCGCTTCAGTGGGAGGAACCTTCCCGCATGCGCTCTGGTTCTGCAACGCGCTCCAAGCCAATCTCCACAACTTCAGCTCGCTGTGCACATTTGCGCTGACAGCGAGCTGCGCTGAGCAGTGTCCAGCTCAGATGTTCAGATGGGAATCTTTTATTGGGTGATTTAGCAACATCTGCGATGTGCGTAGAATAAAATATCAGTTCGTCTGCATGCGTCTGGGTAATTCTTTCTATTCTTTCTCCGTCAAAATAAACGGTCAAATACGGGAACTATCCGGTCAACAGAAGCCCTGCTTTTAACTGTTCTGTTTTCTTGTGAAAATTGTTGGAAAGAGATCAAATTTAACTTGATTACCACCAGAGCCAGTGCGCCGTTATCTCCGTGACGGTAAATGAGGGAAAAACAAATTGATCGGATCCTGCACGTCTTTTAACACATTGGTCAGGATTGACGCACTTTGTTTTCATTTAGTTGGTAAAAAAAAAAAGTCGGGCTCGGGTCGGGCTGGGGCTCCACCCCCTCGGGCCGGGCCGGACACGGGCTCAGATTTTAGGCCCATGCAGGGGTCTAACGCAGATCATGACATCAACACTCCCCAAAGGGGCAGATACCAGATGCCCAAACAAGAACAAACAACCACAAGCACAAGACAAGACACAGGACATGAAAAAACCAGAGGGAGGGAGAGGAGGGAACCATCAAAACACAACCCAAAAAGGGCAGGCGAGGGGGGAACAGGAGACCCCGGGAGGCCGGCGACAGGGAACCAGGAGGCGGGACCAGAGAAACCTAGGTGGCCGGCGACGGGGAACCAGCAGGCGGGACCAGGAAACCTTGGGGATAGGGGGTTTTGGAGGAGGAGGACGAGGAAGGGTCTCAGGAGACTGGAACACTTGTGACTGGGAGACTTGGGAGACAGGAACAACTGTGACTGGAAGACTTGGGAAACAGGAACAACTGTGACTGGGAGGCTTGAGACAGGAACAACTGTGACTGGGAGGCTTGAGACTTGGGACACTGGAACACTCGAGACTGGGAGACTTGAGACTTGGGTCAGGGACACTGGAACACTCGAGACTGGGAGACTTGATACTTCGGACAGGGACACTGGAACACTCGTGACTGGGAGACTCGAGACAGGAGACGGGGACACTGGAACACTCGTGACTGGGAGACTCGAGACAGGAGACGGGGACACTGGAACACTAGTGACTGGGAGATTCGAGACAGGAGACGGGGACACTGGAACACTCGTGACTGGGAGACTCGAGACAGGAGACTGGAACACTCGTGACTGGGAGACTCGAGACAGGAGATTGGGAGACTGGAACACTTGTGACTGGGAGACTCGAGACAGGAGATGGGGAGACTGGAACACTCGTGACTGGGAGACTCGAGACAGGAGACGGGGAGACTGGAACACCCGTGACTGGGAGACTCGAGACAGGAGACGGGGAGACTGGAACACCCGTGACTGGGAGACTCGAGACAGGAGACGGGGAGACTGGAACACTTGTGACTGGGAGACTCGAGACAGGAGACTGGGAGACTGAAACACTCGTGACTGGGAGATTCGAGACAGGAGACGGGGATACTGGAACACTCGTGACTGGGAGACTCGAGACAGGAGACGGGGAGACTGGAACACTCGTGACTGGGAGACTCGAGACAGGAGACGGGGAGACTGGAACACTCGTGACTGGGAGACTCGAGACTTGGGACATTGGAACACTCGAGACTGGGAGACTCGAGACAGGAGGCGGGGAGACTGGAACACTCGTGACTGGGAGACTCGAGACTTTGGACACTGGAACACTCGAGACTGGGAGACTCGAGTTTTGGGACATTTCTTCAACATAGACCCCACTAATGAACTGATTATTTTTTATAAAAAGAAGAGAGAAAATGCACAACGGTAGGAAAGGAAAAGAAAGTGATAAAATAATAGATTTTGTTAAATGTTCTTCATATAATGAATTAATTGACAAAGTTTTTGCAGGGTGTGACAAAAAATGTTCAAGGTCAAGCTCCTGGGGCTTAGCCCCCCCTATATCTCAATCCTAGTGACGTCCATGGTTTCGAGCAAACCAAATTCATTCCCACTCAGAACTCGCTTCTCCAGATACGAAGGTTCTGATTGTCATGTTCTGCGGGTGGAGGTGGCAGACCATGTGTGGTGGTGGGTTTCAGGAGGCAGAAGAGCAGGCAACGGATGAAAAAAATAAAAATGGTTTAATTGTAGAACGGGAGCGACAGGACAAACGAGCATGCACAAACAACAATGATCCGACGAAGACAGCAACAAGGAGGGAGGTATAAATACACAAGGGAATCAGAAACACATGGGCAGAGCAATGAGGGACAGGTGAGAACAATAAGGGTAATCAAGGCAGGAGAGACACAGTCAGGGAGGCTGGGGTGGATCATGACAGTACCCCCCCTTAAGGGGCGGATACCAGACGCCCACAAGCCACATAGCACAGGAGACTAGGAACACTTGACTCGGGACAGGACTGGGAAGACTTGACTCGGGACAGGACTGGGAAGACTTGACTCGGGACAGGACTGGGAAGACTTGACTCGGGACAGGACTGGGAAGACTTGACTCGGGACAGGACTGGGAAGACTTGACTCGGGACAGGACTGGGAACACTTGACTCGGGACTGGACTGGGAACACCTGACTTGACCCGGGACTGGAACTGGGACACGAAGACTTGACTGGGACACGAAGACTTGACTGGAACACTTGACTTCACTGGAACACTTGACTAGACTGGAACACTTGACTAGAACACACTCGAAGACTTGACCAGGAACACGAAGACTTGACCAGGAACATGAAGACTTGACCAGGAACACGAAGACTTGACCAGGAACATGAAGACAAACTGCAGCAGCAGGCGTGGGACCCAGCAGGAACTGCAGCAGCAGGCATAGGACCCAGCAGGAACTGCCACGTGGAGGACCTGCAGGCATAGACCCTGCAGGCGTGGACCAGGAAGTGGGATGAAAACCGCAGGAGAGACGCGAGGGAACCAGGAGCGGCAGCAGGTACTCGACCACAGTTCTGAGCAGGTGCATACCGTGACTCGACAGGATCCTCTGGCAGGCTCGGGTGAAGGGAAGCAAACCACGGAGCAGGAAGATCAGCCCTACCACCCCGGAGAATGATGGCGTGCGTAGGGGGTTTTACCTCCATCAGAGTACTCCAGGAACAGCAGCTTCCGTGATGAACAGGATTGGGCGAAACAGCAGGAGAGGAGAATGACCCCGACCATCCCGAAACAGCTAGGATGCGCCGGAATCTCCCAGAGGGCTCGACCACCCCGAGAACAGGTAGGATGCACAGAAAAACCAAAAAACTCCAGGCTGAAATCTCCCTCCGCTGAAAGGGAATAAAAAAAAAATCCTCAAGAAACAGGTGTTAGCTCACCACAGGTCCAGGTTTGGTCGGATCATTCTGTCATGTGGTGGAGGTGGCAGACCATGTGTGGTGGTGGGTTTCAGGAGGCAGAAGAGCAGGCAACGGATTAAAAAAATAAAAATGGTTTAATTGTAGAACGGGAGCGACAGGACAAACGAGCATGCACAAACAACAATGATCCGACGAAGACAGCAACAAGGAGGGAGGTATAAATACACAAGGGAATCAGGAACACATGGGCAGAGCAATGAGGGACAGGTGAGAACAAGGCAGGTAATCAAGGCAGGAGAGACACAGTCAGGGAGGCCGGGGTGGATCATGACACTGATATGTGGCGTAGACAATCTACGTAACTAGAATTTAACGCTGTGCTATTCCGCTTTGTTAGATTCTGAGAAAGATCAAACAATTTGGCCTATGAACTTATATTTACATAGATATCCACAGATAATTATAAAATCGATAGAAGTTCATCCAACTGGCTTGGTCTATATTTAATCCAAAGATTAATATTTAATTTAAGAGATTTCAATTAATAGCAAAAGTTTATTCATTAAATCAGAAGATTTAAAGAAATCTTTGCTTGTTCAATAACCATATATACACCACTCTGTATTTCATTTCAAAGAAGAGTCAGGTTTAAAAAGTTAAGACTTTATTACTAACAATTTAAAGATGACAATTTAAAAGACAGTTTATAAATGACAATTTATAACTTTGATATTAAAACTTGGTATTAAAAGCAACCTGTGTCCGGATGAGGACTAAAATGAAATGCGTGTGTTGGATGTGTGAATAGAATCTCAGAAGGTTTCTATCAGAGGGAGAAACGCATTCTGGGTGAAAGTTTGTTTTGCAGCTAACTAAGTTATTTCTTAAAGAGAACAGCATACGGACGCAATCTGTGTTCTACCTCACCGATCAGACAACCCTCTGTGTGGATCCGGAGGTCAAGGGAGAATGTTGTCAGCCTCTGGGTACTCGGTCCGGTAGGGAAGACCCGAGTGGTACCGACTCTGGTCCAAGAGTTGCCGCAGGCACACAGGTGTTGAGTTTGCGTATTAACTTAACTCTGAAGGAGTTTGCGTCAGCTGGTTGCAGTTGGCGTTTGTTGGAGCAATTCTATCGGCGTGACAGAACAGCTTAGTGGAGGCTTCGGGCGGCTGACCCTTTCCTCTGGGACTCTCGTGCCACGAAGAGCTTTTAGGGGAGCTCAAGAAGCTGAACTTGAATTGAGGAGATTAGGTTTTAACAAAACCTCAGGACACGCCCTCTCAGAGATAGAAAGCTTTGGTTATGGAGCAAAAACATGTGAGGTGCAGTTACCTTTACCCTGAATGCAGTGTCCTGCATGGTGTGTTTAAGTGTACATTACCTTCTTTACACTGTTAAACATTACTGATTATCATAAATAATAATTATTATTAACCAAAGAATAATAATTCATTTCAGTAATTAAATACATTTATAATGAACCATGATGATTATTTATGAACCTATTAATAGGACAGTGAAAAGCGTTTATTAAAAATGATTCTTTAAAACCTTGAAGTGTCCTTCAGCTTGCGGATGGAACAGCAGTCAGATTAAAGATGGTTTACAGCAGACTTGTGTCTCCCGTGATGTATAATCTGTGAATAGAAGTACAGCGTGACCTAGCTGGGGAAGTGTGACCTTTGGGTCACAAATGAGGCCATTCTTGTCGCTACAGACAACATCACATCCATCAGATTCATTCATCACCTAAGTGTTTCCTAGTTGTCATGTTTTTAATTGTTTAGAAAATAAATTCTTACTTTTTATAAACCTTTTCTTGAAGTAACACGAAAAAGCAAAGAATCTTCTGATTAAACATTCAAAGACCAAGCAGGTTGATATTCTATATTTATATAGAATAGTACATCTTCCTGGTCATAAGTAAAGGTAATATATTAAGCTTAAAAGCACAATATTTACCCCTCTACGTATTACATGTACAACGTTACATGTTATTGTTTTACTGTGTTCTTAGTATTCTTCATGTTTTATTAGTATTTTTATCTTCTGTTTTAGTTCCTTAGATTGGTCGTGTTTTGTTTTGGCCTGTGCAGCACTTTGGGCAGCTCCCGTGTTGCGTTTTAAATGTACTAAATAAATAAACTATGGTATGGTATGCCCCGTCCAGGCTTCTGCAACAGCCCAGCAGAGCTGAAGGGAAGAAGCAGCTGAGACGGGGAAATGCATGTGTGAATCCAAAAAGTGCTTTGGGGTGTTTATAATGAGGAAATAACAACAAAACACAGTCACATGCCACAAAATGTGCATTTCACATGAAAAAGGTGCTTAAAGTTGAACGACCCTGATGGTCTTTCTGTAAAGGTTGGACCATTTGGGTCTTTGAGGGATCTGCTACTGAAAGCGGAGCTGAACACATGCACACAGACACCAGAAAAAGTTTTCACAAACACAAAACTTTGTGGTGTTCAGAGACTCAGGGGAACACATCGCCCCCTAAAGGCCATCAGCTTTCATCACATAATGCTGCAACAGTGTTTGTGCTCACTAACGAGGCCAGCTGAGATGCTTCCTAATGGACACTTATCAACAGTTTCAGTGGTAATTAGTCCGGTGGGACCGAACAAAACCCTGACAGATGTTCATCAGAGCTCCGAGAATACGGCTGATTACACAATGTGCTCTGTTTAACTTCAAACTGTGTGTGTGTGTGTGTGTGTGTGTGTGTGTGTGTGTGAGTGTGTGCATCTTTCATAGACCCAACCTACTGAGTTCATGCTGCAGACTCTGGCCTCTAACGTTCTTGTGCTGCCATGAACGGAGCCTATTGAACGGCCTCTTCTCTTGCCTCTGGTAGGACTTCTGCCTGTCAGCTGTTTCCTTTTCCCTCCATGATGGTTTCTCCTGGTCCTCCTGCTCTTCACTGGGTTTCTGTGATGTTCCCTTCTGCTCACTGGAGGCCTACAAATGTTCTCCAGGATCTTAAGCATTCAAGGATGATTTATTTGTCATTTCAACACATGTCAGACATGAAATGGAAGAAAATCTGTGTCCCTGTCCGCGTCTGCAGTATTTAACCCTTTGGCCTCTAGGGTTTTGCTGCTGCATTTGCTTTTCCCCCATTTAGCGGACGCTCGGGCCCGAAGGGGTCAATCCTGGCTGTGAAAACCAAACGGCAGGAAAACAGCAAACTGCTGAAGCACTCATGTTCCAGGATGTACTGGGACACTTGTTTGTCAATTCAATTCATTTTATAAACATAGCACCAAGTCACAGCTAGGGATGGGTACCTTTGACATTTGAATCGATCCGGTACTAATTCCCGGTACCTAGGAATCGATACCGGTACTTAACGGTACCAATTTTCGATACTTTTGAGTGTTTAATATTTTTAATTCTCTTTTATAATTAAATATATATTTGTCTCAATTTATAACAATATTTGATAAATATCACGATAAATAACATACAACTGTTTGTATTTTAACATCGTCCTTGTAGTTTTATAAGCTGATAATTAAACTGAAGCAAACATCTTTACTGTGAACTAAATTTACTGTGTATCTTCATTCCTTTTGCCGTCTTTTTTCATTTGATTTTTCCTACTGGGAAGTTAGAATTTCCGAGGAGAAAGCGAACGCACCATTAGATGATAACAATGGTGGCAATGGAAGCTAACATATCAAGCTAACGTTATCTTTAACAGTTTATTTAACTGCTGGAGCAGATTAAAACGATGATGCCTCACACTTAGATCGTTGTCGCTGGTTTCATCTTCACCCAATCACCCGTCGCATTTAGTAAAGTGAAGCCAAACTTTAGAGCGCGTTCATGTTCATCTGGTCGAAAATTCGGAGTTCCGAGGAGAAAGCGAACGCACCATTAGTGAAATGGAAGCTAACAAATCAAGCTAACGTTATCTTAAACATTTTATTTACCTACCGGAGCTGCGCTGTTTACAACTGGCTCGCAGCGACCGATGACATAACGCTCTTGCGCATGCACAGCTGTCTAGGCAAGTTCTCGTTGTGAAGGACGGGTACCGAAACGAGGCACCGTTTCAAATGAAGTGAATCGGTGCTCGGTCGGTACTGTGGAATTCGGTCGGTACCTTAAAAAGTACCGAATTCGGTGATCTTCACGGTACTGAAGTGAGACATCATTCCACCTGAGGTCAGGTCCTGATGTCCGAGGCTCCTCCCTCTGCGGTCAGCTCGAGGTGCCTGAACGCTAAAACAGCTACTTTCTGATCTGCTTTGCCTGAGGCCCTGAATCACACACATGATGTTCTTCTGTTTAAATGAAGTAATGATGCGTGTTTCAACCACGCTTGTCTACTAATCACACATGAGTCCAGCAAGCCTCCGCTTCCTGAGCAGCTAAAGGAACAGGTGTGTCTTTCTAGCCGGGCAGAAGGTGTAGCTTCAGCCGAGTTGGTCCAAAATGTGAACAGCTAGATTCCTGAAGCTTGAGCCCGCTGCCACTGCTGCCCCTCTTATGTGTTGGTGCATGACCTTGGTCTTCTTCACACCGATGCAGAGGTTTCCTCTACTCCAACCCTCCAGGTGTTCCACCTCCTTCCAGTGGGCGGACACGTCGTTGGTTTTGAATGTATGGAAATCCGTGTAGCAGGAGCTCAGGAGGCCTTGTGATTGGAGGGTTGTGGGATCGATCCCAGCTCCTACCTGCTGTTGGGTCCTTGGGAAGATGCTTCGCCTTACTTGTCTGTGTTGGTGGAGGTGGTCAGAGTGGCTGATGGTACAAATGGAAGCATCACCATTGTCAGACCACCCCAGTGCAGCTGTGGCTACATAGTAGCTCACCATCACCAGCAGTGTGAATGTGAGCGTGCATAACCGTGTACCAGAGTCGGGTCCGAGCTGATGTCACGTCTACAAAGAGCAGGCGGACATGAGTGGGTGACGGCATGTGGCACATACTGGTACCGACCCTCACCTCCCTCCTCCTACCGTCCAGTCTCAGGGTGAAGGACGTGAGATGAGACTCTCTGCTCTCTCTTCAAGGTCATCTCCAGTGTGACCTTCAGGTAGCTCCGCCCCTTCAGCTCTGATGTGTGCACCTCTCTGAGTTCGACCCAGAGGGTTTCATCTTCATCGGCTCTGGTTGTGACAAACTACATGAAGCTGTCACAGGTTATAGTGATGGACCCTCAGGAGGTTCCTGATGAGCACACCGGTGGTTACCGGGCAACAGCTGGTCTGTTGGACGCGACGCTCCAGATAAAAGTGTGTGTGCTGTCTCAGCTGGTGGTCTGGGGGTGGAGTGTGTGCGTGTCTCCTTTAGGCTTAAAAACAGGAGCTGAACTTAGTGATGAATCTGGTTCTGAGAGGCTCGGTTCGCTCAGATCAGAACCTCACTCTGCTGAATAGTGCACAGCTAGTGTGTGTGTGTGTGTGTGTGTGTGTGTGAGACCTCTGACACCACGCCGTTCGTGTTTTTGTGCCACAGTTTCCTCTGCAGATGATTTCAGGGTTTTGTTTACTGATGTTTGAAATGAAGTTTTGACTTGTTCTGTGACGAAACGCTCAGCGCCGGTCGGACTCTGGTTCTGGTCTGATCCGGATTCCTGGTAAGACTCGGGTCCGGACCTGCAGATGAAACATGAACTGGACTTTGGACCTGGACATCCTGACCCTGGAGGCTCTGAAGGTGAACTCCCAGTCCTTCCTGCCTGCCTTCATCCTCCTGCTCCTTGTCTATGTCTTCATCGTGGTGTCCAATGTGGGCTTGGTGGTTCTGATCCTGGCTGGTCAGACCCTTCAGCAGCCGATGTACCTTCTCTTCTGTAACATGAGCATCAATGATGTTTTTGGGGCCACGGTTACTGTCCCCCATGTCCTCAGAGACCTGATCCTGTGGGACATGGAGCGCCACGTCCACTACACTGACTGTGCTGTCCAGGCCTTCTGCGTCCACCTCCACGCCAGCGTCTCCC